TGTTGTGTGCCTTAAAGTTATTTCTGGCTTATGGCAATCTTAAGGTAAAACTATCATAGCACTTTCTTGGGAGAATTTGTTCAGAGGGCATTCACCCTTGTCTTCCTCTGAGGCTGAGAGAGTGTGACTTGCCTAAGGTTACTTAGTTGATTTCGATGGCCAAATGGGGATTTAAACGCTGGTTTCCCAGTGTCTTAGTCCAACACTTAAACCACTACTACACCATGGTTGCTCTCAAAGACCCCATTAGCTTTACAAAACAAACAAACAAACAAACAAAAAACTCTGCTCCTGGTAAAGATTAGGACTCTCCTTGGAGGCTGACAGTGACCTGCATATAAATGTTATGACCTGCATAGAAATAGTCAATCATAAAGGGAACTTTGGTATAAATCTATGTTACTGCAAGAGAAGAAGTTCTTGATGCAAGTAATTCACACTTCAAGGTGCTACATGCAGCTCCTGTAGCAATCCAGGGTCCTCCAGGGTCTTCATTCTTGAATAGATGTATTTCCATGCAGCAGCATCTAGGATTGGGCCACAGGACCCAGTTATAATGCCTGGCCACTGATGAAGAGGAGATTTGTAAACAAACCAAAGATGATTTATAATTCTTCCTTCCTTCCGCACCCACACAGTATTAATTGCATACATGGGGTTGTTCTAATTTATATTTCTTCTGCCTCATTAAGAGATAGGAGAATTATAAGCAGATAGTCTGATACAATGTAAAAGAAAAACAGATACCTGGAACACACCTAAGTTATGCCTCCAACAGTTCCATGCACTGAGTTATATAAATAAATTTCAGCCTGGTGAGTCTTCATCCCACAGCACCTGCATAGTGAGTCTAATCAGTCATCTATCATACAGACAAGCAATCATTTAAAATGTGGAAGTGTGCCTTACGGGCACGCAGTTTGCATTATATACAGATAAATATTAAGATGAACATTCTTTATTTCCTGTTCAGAGCTGTGAGATTTTTCTGAAATTGCCTCAGTCATAATAGAGAAAATCATACAAGTAATGTTCAGTTCCAGCCAGACTGTCCAAGCTGACTTGATCGCAGAGCAAAAAATAAATAAATGGGAAATGGAGGCTCTCTTCACAAATAATATACGAGGAAAATAATGATGCTGAACTGAGTAATCTGTATAACTCTACAGAGAGGAAGGATGGCAGTTACACTGGATATTAAAAGGAATACTTATTTCATAGGATTAACTCTGTAAATTAAGTCTTTGCCTTCCAATGACCAATCACCAAAGCATTCAAAATCCAAGTTGCATAAGAGAAACAAATCATGTGCTATTTCAGACAGACATATTTTATTATCTTTGTTACCTCTGCAAAAAACAAAACAAAACAAGGAAAAAAGCATACCTAGCACCTTCTTTGAGTTAACAAACAAGTTAAATGGAAAAGGAAGAAGAGTGAAGGAAAGAAACAGGTATTGACTCAAGAAGGCATTAAAGCAAAAGATTGTTCTTCTCCCTATCAGAAGGTCCAGAAAATTACAGGAATTCTTAGTGAGACTTCAGCTGGCACTCAAAGACCTAGCAATAACAGATGGAAAATCATAAATGATGCAGTGCCATAATCAAGGCACAGGTGTTGATTACAACAGCAAGCTAGTATAGGAAAGTAGGAATCATAGAATCTAATAGAGATGGAAGAGACTTCAAGGGCCATCCAGTCCAACCCTTTGCCACATTGGAACACACAATCAAAGCACTCCCAACAGATGGCCTTCTAGCCTGTGTTTAAAAACCTCCAAAGGAGACTCCACCACTCTCTAAGGTGGAGTGGATAGTTGAATAGCATATTCTACTATCCAACAGCTCTTGCAGTCAGTTTTTCCTGGTATTTAGGTGGAATCTTATTTTCCTGTAGTTTGACTCTATTGCCCTGAGTCCTAGTCTCTGGATCAGCAGATGACAAGCTTGCACCATCTTCAATATGACATCCCTTCAAATATTTAAACATGGCTATCATCTCACCTCTTAACTTTCTCTTCTAAACATAACAAGCTCCCTAAGCTGCTCTTCATATGGCATAGTTTCCATATCTTTCACCACTCCCCTTCTTTGGATATGCACCAGCTTGTCAATATACCTCTTGAATGGTGGTGTCCAAAACTGGACACAGTATTCCAGGTGAGGCCTGACTAAAGTAGAATAGAATTGGTACTACTGCTTCCCTCAATCTAGACACTATGCGCCTATTGATGCAGCCTAGGATCAGATTGGATTTTTAGGCTGTTGCACTACACTGTTGAATCATGTTCAGTTTGTGGTCTACTAAGATTCCTAGATCCCTTCCACATGTACTGCCATCAACCCATATGTAACCCATCCTATACCTATGAATTTCATTTTTTGTTGTGCCTATAGTACTTAAATTTGGATTTCTCCCTGTTGAAATTAATTTTGCTTGTTCTGGCCAAGCTCTCTAATCCATTAAGGTCATTTTGATCACTTTGACCTAGGAGTTAAAAGCAAAGTCACACCCATGAGCACTGATAGGAACCTGGTAGGTTTTGGAGCCCTGAGAAAGGGAAATTTACAAGTGTTTCCTTGATTACATACCTGAAATTTTGTGATTTAGGACAGGAAGGGGAATGTTGCTTCTGGAGGTCTTCCTTCAACACCAGGAGAGATGTGTCTAGATAAGCTAGAAACATTGAGATCAGTGTTTTGAACTCATGGCAGGCTTCGGATCACTTTCAGCTAGGGAGAAAAGAGAGGATGAATTAGTTAATATCCCCAAATAGTCTATACAAATTGTTGCAGATCCATGTCAAATGCACAGCTTAGTAGAGTTACCTTTCTGGACTACAGTTCTCAAAATTCTCAGTCAGATTGGATACAAACAGGTGTGGTCCCAAAATGTAACCTTCTCAATCTCTGGGTAAAAGTTAGTAAATTGTGGCCATAATTAATCCAGTGACAAGTTTCCTCTCTATTCCAGGCATGGATGAAATGATCAAATCATACATGAATGGCTTCTTCATTTCACTTAAAGATTCACCCTTATAGGAGAATGGCTACACTTTGTAAATTAACAGGATTTGCAAATTTCTCTCATATTTAAAAGAAAGTAGGAAACATCCCTGAAAATGCTTAAATTCTATGAATGCTTTCAGCCACTCTTATTAACTACTGGATTAATAAAAGTATGAACAAAATCTAAAATTGAATGAACATTCTGTATCAAGAGATTTTATGTATGCAATACCAAATTATAAATTTGTTAAATTTAGATTTAAATTATATTGCACCAACCGTGCTATATATATTGCTTGGATCCTAACTAATCAGGAATTTATTTTTTGTCTCTTTTTTAAAAAAAGGGGGGATCTTTCTTTAGAACCCACACATATCTGAACCATTGGAACCATTTTCACATAAAATGCCAACTTGCACCTTGTTAATTAACCTTTAAAAGCATATTGTACAGGCAATTTCATTGCTGACTTGGGAACCCGGAGAATCAAATAATAGATATTCATTTTAGTTAAGATTTCAGCTAGAACTTCAATTGCATCAAAGAAAAAAAAAGTAGAGACAGGCGGGGGAAGTAGAAGGAAAGCTATTAGATCAATCTTGCCTCTTCAGCAGTTTATATGTTTAATAAAGACTGAATTTAGAGAGAGCAAAACCCCCAACTTAGTAATAATTCCCTTCACAAGCCCTCCTATAATTAAAAAAATGGAGTCAAGGTCATGACGACTGCTATCGAAAATAAAAGACAGACCTTTAATTATAGCAAGGCCATCTTAAAACATGGGTTAAGGGTCTCTTAATTCTCTGTCAGCATTTCCACTATAACCTCTCAGTTTCAGGGGTTTACAGCTCAAACATAAATATTTGTTGCAGGACAAAAGTGATCCTTCAAGGGTCAAGCAAGAGAAGTAAATTTTGTTTACATTTTTTGAGAAAAAAATGTCTTTGATATTGAAAAGCTGCATTGCCCTTTTCAAAGGCAAAAAGGGGGAAAACTTTGGAGAGAAAAGATACAACAGGAGGCCACCAGGCTCTCTCTAGTTCTATGTCTGGGAAAGAAAGGTAACCAAAGACATTTTGCAACCTGAAGCAGAGCAACAAGCAGCCCTTCATTTCACAACTTGCTGCCAAAAATCAGGGTGCATTCTTAGTCAGGTTCATTGAGACATTCCACAAGAACATCTCCCTCATCGTGACAGGAAAAATTCTATTAAAATCAGTAAATTAAAAAACAAATAAACAATGTATTGCCCTCTCAAGGTAACCCAAAAGTCTGCCTGAGACATCTGCTTCACTCTTTCTTAAAATAAGGCAGTAGAACTATGTAAAAACTGGATAGGAATTTCATTGCTGACTTGGGAACCTGGAGAATCACATCATACATATTCATTTTAGTTAAGATTTCAGATAGAACTTCAATTGCAGCTAAGATAAAAAGTAGAAACAGGTGAGGAAGGAGAGGAAAGGCGATTAAATCAATCTTGGACACTAGATCAAAAACTGGACACCAAGGATCACATATTCAGTTGTAGTCCTTAGTGTTAAAAAACCATGTTCCATTGTGGATAAATCTGAACCCATTTTTGAATCTTCTCCTTGAGCTCCTCGCAAAATCTTAGTTGTTACTGAGATAGTGTGAGTTTCTGGGCTTTGCACCATTAGATAGCAGGTGAGGATATTCCTAATTGAAAATTCCTTCATACAAAATATTTTCCTGAACACATTATACTAGATATCACAGAGATGGT